AGAAGTTAAGGAATTGCTTAAGGTCACACAGCTACTGAGTGGCAGAGTCAGGCCATGAAACTAGGCAGTCTGCCTCCAAACCTTTTAGCTGTAGAACATTCTTTGTTCACAGAAAGTCTCATGGAAAAATTCAGTGTGTGACAGAACAAAGCAGAGCTGCTTTGGTTCAAGTCCAGACGGCAAAGCCCTGTCTGGGCAGTGCCTCCCCGTCCCTGGGGAGCCCTGTTTGAAAAGGCCTGATCTCGGAAATAATACCTCTTGGCTTGATGCCACTTGTAAGCTGTCTTCAATCCACTCTAGCATAAAACAAATAAAATTCTTTTCTCACTTTAATTAACTGATTGTGTTTTATTTTGAAAATTTTATCTGCTTAAACTACTTCTGGCAGAAATAAATGTTAAGATAGATTTTCCCCCGGACGGTAACGCCATATGGCAATTTGGACTTTCCTGGCTTAAGTTCCCCTTTGGTTTCTTTATACAAACGAAGGACTGTGATCGTGAAAGTTTCCTGAACCAAAAGAGAAATGGGATTTGATTTCCTATAAATAGAGTTGCATATAAACTTTGCAACCAGATAGGCATGATCTACCCTCTCTGTTACGCACTGCTTATTTTCTGTGGTTATTCATAATATAAAATAATCGGAGCAAGAATTTTAAGAGTTACTGTCCATTGAGTGCCTTTTGCAACCAGGGATTTAAAAAACTCTTCATTTTTTACAACTCTAGGTGTTATCACCCCTATTTTACAGATATGTAAGTCGGGGCTCAGGTTTTATGTAACTTGTTTATGTTGGCCCAACCAGTGAGGGGAGGAGGGAGGATGTTTTGAGAAATATCATTGGTTAAGGAGCAGAATTTTTTTTTTAATTAAGTATAGTTAATTTACAATGTTGTGTTAGTTTCAAGTGTACAGAAAAGTGATTCAGTTATACATATAGATATAGATATTCTTTTTCAGATTCTTTTCTGAAAAGAAAAGGTTATTGCAAGATATTGAGTGTTGTTCCTTGCAAGATATAGGTTATTGCAAGATGTTGAGTGTAGTTCCCCCCTGGGCTATACAGTAGGTCCTTGTTGTTTATCTATTTTATATACAGTAGTGTGTATATGTTAATCCCAAACTCCTAATTTATCTCCCCCTACTCTTACCACTATCCCCTAACCATAAGTTTGTTTTCTATGTCTGTGAGTCTATTTCTGTTCCATAAATAGGTTCATTTGTGGAGCAGAATTTTTTGATATTAAGAATAAAAGTCATATAAGACAATATATTTTAGGATGTATAATGTGAGGACTGATGCAATTTTCAAATTATGAAAGACTGAGAATGCAGTGGGATCCATTCTAAAGAGTGATTAATTCCTGTGATGAAATGCCCCTTATCATTCGGTAATGTACACAATTATATAACACACTAAAAAGAAAAGAGACGGTGAATCAAACAAATGCGACTATAGATCAAGGGCGATTGAATTGAAGAACAAGAAAACAACTCAGACCAAGTCAATTGCTTTGCTTGCCTCTATTTTTCCCCTGCTTTTGCTCCCACCTGCTGCCATACTCTACCCCAGGGGAGGGCAAACTTTTTCTGTAAAGGACCTGTTAGATAGAAAATATTTTAGACATTGTTTGCCATGTATTTTCTGTGTTGAATCTACTCAACTGAGCTGTTACAGTGCAAAAGCAGCATAAACAATACGTAAGTGCACGGCCATGGTTATTTTAGAGTAAAACTTCATCTGTGAACACTAAATTTGAACTTCATATAATTTTCATGTGTCCCGAAATGTTATTCTTCTTTTGATTTTTTTTTTTTTTTGAACCATTAAAAGATGTAAGAACCATTCATAAGCTGTCCTAACAGGCTGGAAGCCAGACTGGGCTCCCCGCCGTGGTTTGATGACCACCACTCCAGCCTGACCACCCCTCTCTCATTTCCAAACACATCATTTCTTGTCTCTGTGGGCATTTCTTTTACTTCCAGCATTTAAATGTTGTTTTGGACTAAGAACTTAATCCCGGAAGAGACTTCAGAGGACCAAGTAACAGAAGTAGTTCCGCTCACATTCTGCAAAAAACAGACATGCAGAGCTGCTACGGCCAAATCAAGTTCCCCTGAAACAAATAGAAGCCACGGTGGCTGTCTAAGAGGATTTAACATAAAATGGAAAATTCTTGGCATACTCTGTCAATTTCATTGAAGATTAAAGGATAAATGCAGGACTTTGAGTCATCCCCAGAAGCTATTTAGTTTCAAAGTGATGCTAGCAAATATGAAAATTCTTTGTGTGTTTTAACAGCATAGGTCATTGCTAAATTTTAATTTTTTTCCCACTAGGGAATCTGACCTTAATGTGATAGAAACACTTTTGATCTTGGTGTCCAAAAGACAAAGGTTTGAGTTTCAGCTCTGTTAGTTTTACTGTGATCTTGGGTAAATGAATAGCACCTACTAGATTCTTGGCTTCCTTATCAGTAAAATGAGATTAATAATCCTACCTTACAGGACTTTTATTTTATCTTATTTTTTTAGTCCTTTACTATTTATTATGAAAATTTCAAAGAGAAGCAAAATAGTAGAGCACTGTAGGGATCCCATGTGCCCTCACCCAGCTTCTACAATTCCGTGCATTTTATCAAACTTCTTTCATTTTTACCTCACCCCATTTTTTCCTCTCTTTAAATACTAGAGTAAAATACTCTCTTTAACATTTCAAATGTAATATTATCTCACCTGCAAATATTTCAGTATGTATAACTAACAGAGAAGATCTTTCTAAGGAATATCAATTCCATTATCACACCTAAAATTGCAATAATTACAAGTAATGCTTTGCAAAATTGCAATAATTCTTTAACATCATCCGTTATCCAGTCAGTGGTAAAATTCCCCTACTTGTTTCAAAAATGTCTTTCTATAGCTGGTTTATTTGAATCAGGAGCCAAAGAAAATTCACATATTGCATTTGGTCATATGTTTCTTAAGTCTCATAATTTCTGGCAACTTCTCTTCTCTTCTCCCCATCTTTCTTCCTATAATTAATTTGTGGAAAGAATAATTATTTGCCCTGTAAAATTTTACATAATCTGGATTTGGCTGTTTGCAACCTTCACCTTTGTAGAGTCATTGAACAGTTTCCTCTTTCTCAGATGTTTACCGTCAGTAGATAGAGGGGCTGCATATTTCATAGGTGATGCTTTCTACTTGTGCTTGTACCACATCTAGAGAGCAGAGCGTCTGGTTGTCTCTTTTTTAGTTTTCTGTTAAGGTTGATTAGTGGGGTCCCTCGAGTTGATGCATTCTTCATCAAGCTCTCACCTAATGTTTTTAGAGCTGGTTGATGACTGTGGCTTAGATCCATTACTTCACAAGGGGTTGCAAAATGTAGGTTTTCTAATTCTATCAGTCCTTTTGGGTTTATTAGCAGAAATTCTGTAGCAAAATTTTCCTAATCAACTGTTTGGTTACCAAAAAATACATGGTAAATTCATATCATAAAGGCAAGACCAATGCTTGTTGGTGTCCCCCTCACCCCTTTTTCTGGGCTAATTTTTAGTATAATCATGGCCCGTCTTCATTGAGTTTGAGGATTGTTGTTGTTGGTGGCGGTTTTTCTCTTGTCAACATAATTTCAGGAATTAAAAAAGTTTTGATATGTTTTAATCCATCACAGTCATTCCTCTTCAGGTTGGTTTTTGTGTCTTATTCAAGTAGTATTTGGTTACTATTTTGCTTTTTGGTATGACAAGATATCTCAGGCTCACCTTATATACTTCTTGCTCCAGATCTAAATCACTCAAGAAGCCCTGGTTGCATTTTAGTAGAAAATAGTGTACTGAGACCATAGTCTGGGCACTGGGAGTGTTAATTGCTTCTGTTTCTAAATTTTCAGTGGATAGACTTGGAATATACATTTTTAAAGGAAAATAAATCATTATTTTCTACTCATGGTTCCAGTTTGGATTGTAAGGTTTTTACGTAACATTTTTGGTTCTGATTTGGATTTCTTCTTCTCTTATGCTAAAAATCTTGGTTCTTAAGACATTAAGACCATGACTTCTTGACTTTATTCTACATCATGCATTTATGTGAGTGAGTCATGTGAATGTTTGCACACACATATAATAGTTTCAAAATAGCAATACCAATATTTCCACTAAAGTATTATTAGTGAATACGGTTTAAGATTGTTTGGGGATTCTTTTTGTTCTTAGGACATATCACATCTGGGAAAAATAGTCCCTGGTGCATGTTTTAAAGTCACTTCAAGTAATTCATGAGGATATGCCACCAAGTTTGTATGCAGATATATTCATTTGTTTTATTAGTTTTTTATTTTTGAGGATTTTATTTTTTCTTTTTAACTTAGTTTTATTTTATAATTAGGTAAAATAATTACATTTTTCAGTGTCAAAACTGTAAATTACAGATTTTCCCCTTCTATCCTACTCTCTCTTCTTAGAGAAATTATATGTATCCTTTTCTGCACCATGCTTTTTCACTGAATAAATATATCCTAGAGAAAACTCTATAGAAGTAGGTAGTTCATTCAGTCAGTCCTCTTTTTGTGGGCATTTGGGCTTTTCCAAATCTTTTACTATTACAAATAGTTCTTGAGTAAATGGCCTTTACAGGCTACTGAGAGTTAAATGAAATGCAGTACATTAGAGGTCTCTGTAAAGTATAAAGTGATATACATACATGTATATAAGTTTTATATATATATATATGATTTTGTTATATCATTAGCCCCACAGACATTTATTAAGCACTTATGAATATGAATAAGGCATAGTCTCTACTCTTGAGGTTTTATAGTCTAATTGATACTGAATGAAAAGAAAATTTTCCCATTTTTCATTCTCAGTTTAATTTTTAAGTTTCTAATCAATGACTGTTTCAACTGGTGTCGTTTTAATATTAAGTTAATTCCTGAATTTTGGATATATACAGATTTCCATAATTTATAATATTTTTTACTATATTTGATTACAGTGCTAATACAGAACTCCTTTCAGTTTACAAACCACATAATTATAACATCAAGGAGGTTAGTTTTGTCCAACTGATTTGGGCTGGGCTTCACAATGACAGCAGTAACAGTGACCACGACAGTTCCCCTGAAGGGGAAGATAGAAGATAATTCTGCCTCGTATGAGTCCACATCAGCTCACATTATTGAAGAAACCGAATATGTGAAAAAGGTATGTGGGCACTGGAAATCATGTTACCATGGTATGATTTTTTACAATAAAGTCTGATATGAATTAGTGGGCTTTGTTTCTCCCTCTCTAGAACACGTGAGGAAGAACAAACCTAGCTTGGCAAAGGACAACCTTGATAGCTGAAATTTAAACACATGCGTTGTCATTTCTCTTGAGGGTATGAACCTCTGTTCCTACACTTGGACTAAAACTGAATAAAGGGCCAGGAGGGTTCAGAACACCTATCAGCACTTAATTTGTCCCACACTATTCACCACTGCGTCCTACTGTTTTACATCATTTCTCAGTTCTTTCATAAGTATTGATACTTTGTTGCCAAGTAGATATTTATGATGCCTGCTGAGTTTCTGTCTCTCCTTACCTTGTTCCTTCTCAAGCAGTTCAGAGCCACTATCGCCAATGACTTGTACATGTTGGCATGTTACTTCATTAAAAATGTGAAATCTTATGACAATCCAATGATAATGTCTGACAAAGGTATATATTCTCATGAACTACTTTTTAGAACAGATGGAAAAATTTGGACATAGCTAGTTTGTGACTTAGAGTGATTAATTTATCTTTGAGTGTCTTGCAATTCCATAGGTCACCAAGACACGGGGCTTGTATTTCATGCATAAATTTGTATGATCTCCTCTGAGTAATTATTCTCTAGTAATTATGAAATAGTAGTTATTCTCTAGTAATTACTAGAGAGTAATTATTTTGCAGTAATTATTGGATAGTAATTATTTTATAGTGATTACCAAATAGTAATTGTTTTATAGTAATTACCAAATAGCAAATTAGTACTAAATTACTATATAGAAAAAAACAGAACTAACTAGTATTAAATACTAATTACTAAATTGTAATTATTTTGTAGTATAATATTCATTTGCGTTATATTTTAGGTTTGCCTAAGAAACAGTTGTAAAGACCAAATGCTCATTTTCTGCAATCTAAACAATATTAGCCTAAATGCAAGTTAGGTCAATGGCAGTCATTTAAATCTGAGATTGACACAGATGTAATACTTCCTAGATAAATTTGGCACCCTGTAACTGGTATAGAAAAAAAAAAGTATTTGGTGTTAAATGCCTTTGAAAAAAATATTTTTCTTTTCTTTTAGATTCGAACTACTCTGGAAAAGATCCGAAGTCAAATATTTAAAGATGAAGTAAGACATCATAATACAAATCACAAACAAGATGCAAGGGTAATGAATTCATCAAAATGTACCACTTTTATTCCTTCAGTAAATGAACGTAAAGCCATATAGACTTCCTTTAAATAACTTTCTGATATTATTAAATTATTCTTTGAATGATGAGTATTAAGTATTTTGTTGGTATCTAAAGATGTTAATGGGCATATGTATATTTAACTACAGATGTCATTAGTAGGATCAGATTGGAATGGCCAGGTCTTACTTGAATATTTTAAACTTGGCTTACTTATCTAAATTGTATAGGAAGATATTGGCTCAGCCGGGATACATACAGGTTCACCTGGGCCACACCAATGGACATCTAGTTGAAGCCATTACGCTGCGTGATCAGTCAATAAGCTTAAATGCACCCCCTCCCCTGTGACCAGCCTTTTATTCTTAAGGTCAAATGATGTGCACTTAGCCTTGTCTGGATTCTGCCAGCTTAGACCTCACCTGAGCCACATGCACCTCATCAATGTCAGTGTTATCCACTCTGCAGGATGGCCACAGAGAACACTAGAACATAGCGTAAGATGTATAAACAGAGTCTTCTTTATCATCCTCAGCTCCTAAACTGACACAACTCACTCCAATTATTTTTTTAAGTGCTCTGAAACTGAAAAAAAGATTAAAGTTTGTGAATGATAGGAAAGATCAAACATTCAGTTCTGACTATGTTGAGTTGCCTATCAGAGTGGAGGTTTCTGATGGAAGTTGGATATCTGATTCTAGAGTTGAGGGTAGAAGTCTGGTATAGAAGGTCCAGGCTATGGAGATTTTGGGAGTAAGGATGGTATTTAAAGTTCTGAAACTGGAGGAGATCACCGAACATATCAGTGTGGATAGAAAGGAGAGAAAAGCTAAGCATCTAGTCCTGAATTTATGATATTTAGATGTTGGGAAGAAGAAGAATCCATCACAGGAGGCTGAGAAGTGAGGCTAGTGAATTAGGGGGATAAACAGGAGAGAATGGAGCTACTGAAGACAAGGAAAACAATGGGTTTTAGAAAGTGAAGAGGGACCGCTGTGTCAAATGGCGTCCGTGGGTTAAGTAAATTGAGGGCTAGTTATCGACCGTTGGCTATAAAAATGGGGAGGTTGTTGGACACCTTAATAGGAATAGCTTCCTGGGAATGCAGATGAATTGTGTTGCCAGTATGTCTGCTTCGGCCATCTCAAACCACAGAAGGTCAGCAGACAAGTTAGATTAAAAAAAACAAACAACTGGCTTTGTGGATATCATTTATCTTCTTAAAAGGTCTTAATAGTATATTTTAAACTGTAGGGAATATAAAAGGCATGAAAGATGTACTTCCACCTTCCTTTTAATATAAGAATCTATTCAAATTTGAGCAAATATAGAGGCCAGCTGCGTTTCATCTGGAACTTCCCATTGATATTTGAGATTCAAAAGATTTATTTGTGTTGATCTGAATCTTCCTTGAAATATGTAATACTGAGTGATAATTATTGTTATCAGAGTTAGTAGAGAAAAGGAAAAGTCAGGTGAATGATTTTCTTGTTTGTTCTTTTCAGCACTGTCGACACGTTCAAAATGGCTTTGACTCTGAAATGGACCCCTCTTGTTGCAGTTTGGATCTGCTCATGGAAAGGATAAAAGGAAAAGACCTACAGCTCTTAGAAATGAACAAAGAGAATGAAGTGTTGAAAATCAAGGTATGAGCAGTAGGAGAAATTTCTGATTTTGTACTTTGTGCCAGTAGGATAGATTTGTGGATCTGTGAAATTAGATAGACATCCACACACATCCATAAATCCACACATGTGCTCACATACTTAGAGAAGCACTTTTACAGTTGATCAATTAAATCTCACTGTTTTATTTTGAAGGCGATTTTTATTATTAAAATAATCTTACAAAAGTTCAATGGGCATAGTTTCAGTTGTACAAGATGAATAAGTTCTAGAGATTCACTGTACAGTATTGTGCCTATATTTAATACTGTACTGTACACTTAAAAATCTGTTAATGGGGCAGGTCTCATGTTAAGTTTAAAAGTCTTTATATATGTAATAATTAGGTATTAAAAATTGCGTATTAATTAGAGCACTCAGTCAAATGTCTCATTGTTTTATTTAGCTAATCTATTGTTGGGTGCCTTATATTTTCCTTTTTTGGCTTATTTTATATACAGTTCTACAGTGATTTAGTAGGTAGATCTTTGCAGCCATCCTTGATTATTTCTTTAGGTTAAATCTTTGAAAGATTCGTGACACGTTGTCGATATTGCCCCTAATACTTCAATCTTGTCCTCCTTCTATTTCAGGAAATATGTCTTTTAGTACTGTTGTGGCCAATGATACGAAACGCTTGCAAATACGTGTATAAACTGATGCGGCACTGGGGAACACTTTGCAGGGGTGTGGTCTATATATGCAGGGCACTGATGTTCACAGAGCTCGCTTTGGCCTGGCCAGTGCAAATCACCTGCATGACAGCCCCAATAAATAGGGGGTCCTCATTTTATGTTTTCTTCTTACCAGATAACAGCATCTTTCCTCTTACCCATTGTCTATGAAGGTGCAAATGGTACGGTTACAGCCTCTGTGTTTCTGGTTGCCCATCAAACAGTTCTGTCTTTAACCCTTTTTATTGGAAAAGTCAAAACATGCACAGTGACCTTTTGTTTCTAGCTCGAAGCCTCCAGAGAAGCAGGAGCAGTGGCTCTGAGAAATGTGGCCCAGAGATTATTTGAAAACTATCAAACACAGTCTAAAGAAGTTAGAAAGAAGCATGAGGACAGTAGACACTTACTCCAGGTACCGAGCTAGCAGCTTGCATACTGGTGGACTAAGCTCCAAGCTGTTCAAGTCTCTCTTCTGGGGAGGAGTTAGATGTGAAACAAGCAATGGCCACGTGACTTGGCAAGACCTTGGAAGGGCAGGCTGCCCGTCTTCTGCCCTGATCTCCCCCCACCCCTGTTTAGCCTGGTACCCGGATATTATGCCTCTCTTGCCCAGAGCCCTGCCACCCAGCCTAGAAATCAGGGCTGGCCTCATGACACTGGCCAGTGGCTTCTCTTCTGGTTCTGCCTTTGACTAACTAGGTGACCCAGTTTGAATCACTCTGTCTCTCTGACTTGATTCTAAAATGAAAAAGTTGGGCTACATAAATGGTTTCAAAATTTTTTTGGTCCTGGAATACATTCTTCAGAGTAAACGAACAAAAACATGTATGTGTATGTACATATATATATATCATATAAAATTATATATTTTATATTTAATATATAAATGAAAATATAAAATTATACAAATATATATGTGTGTGTATATGGGTGTCTCTATATCATAGACACACACCTACACTTTGTTTGTTTTTGAATCTGAAATATGTGTCCTAGGGCCAGTAAAACTTTATCTGGAGAATGTATTCTAGGACTGGAGGAGGGAAACGTGTGTATGTGTGTGTTTGCCAAAACTCAAAACAGGGAAGCTCATTCAGGCACGGGTAGGGCACCTGGGTCTCTGCCAGCTCAGGCCCTAGGAGGGTCCCCAGGGAAGCACAGTAGGAATCCACTGCATAGGCGACACGCCCTCAAGCTTCAGGTTGGGGTGATGATGGTCACAAATGCCTAGGCACGCAGGGTGCAGGTAAAGTACCTACGTGAAAGAGTAAGCAGGTGTGTGTGGACGGGAGTGCCCATGTCCCAGCAAAGGGAGTGTCTGGGCAGGAATGCCCACCTGGTATATTCAAGGGAAGTCAGACACTTTTTTTTCTAACCGTAAAATCTTGAGTTCTATTAAACACACAAGCAGATGTGGGTGCGTATGTCAGTTACAAGTCAAGTTGAAACACTCCCAAGTGTGGCCTATGGGCTGCCCGCTGAAGACTTCTCTCCTATGTCTTTTAGTATAACTCCTGCTATACGCCTAGGAGATAACCCCCTGACACAGCGGGGATAATTATTCTGCTTTTATGACACTTTCTGGTTAAAAAGAAAACACTTTTTACTTGAACGTATAAGATTTTATTTTTGTTCTAGATAAGTTTTGTTGAGAAAAAGTCAAAAGTTTTGCTTTTCTTAAATTTTTGTCTCTCTTTCTTATACCAGTTCACAGAGTATGCTTTATGGTAGCAAATGTCAACATTCTAGAAATAATATTTATATGTTATTAATTCTCCATTGATTTAGTGTTGCTGTAGTCCATCAGGTTTATTTTGAAGAAAGACTGAATTCAAGGAAGTACTTCTAAACAAGTGTGAATTATTACATTTTTTTGGCGACTCAGAAAATTTTAGAGGGAGATAATAGCTGTATAGGTTTAATGAAAACGATAGTCTGATAACTGTTTTTCTGACAAAAGGTTAACACACTTGAAAAAGAACAGAAATTGAAGCAACATGTTGAAAATCTGAATCAAATTGCTGAAAAGCTTGAAGAAAGACATAATCAAATCACAGAACTGGAGAATCTTGTACAGAGAATGGAACAGGTAGGCCTCTGGAGAATTAAAGGGATTTCTTCCTGACAGGGTTAGGGTGAGAATTAAAGAAGATAATATGAAAATAAATAACATTAAGTGAAAGTGTTCTTTGCAACTCCTAAGATCTTAGGATGTACTCAATAATGTTCATTTCTTCCCTTACACATTTAATATGATGTGTATTGTAGTTACTGATTTACCTCTTTACAAATACTGCACTCGAATCATTTTCTGTCACTTTTTTTTTCTCGTAAATGTATGGCTTAGAAAGGGGAAACATGTGAGGCTATGAAGAGAAATAATGGAAAAAATCACAAAGTCTACCTACTGCTAGTAATAATATAGCGAATCCCTGTAATTACAGCATTTTTATGTATTGGAGTCAGTGAAGTGTTTATTTTTGGCCACCCAAGTCCCCTTTAGATTTATAAAAACCTATGACTGCCCTAGGACAGGTATAGTGCACAATTAAGAAAAGACATTCTTGGGACTTCCCCGGCAGTCCAGTGGTTAAGACTCCACGTTCCCAGTGCAGCGGGCACGGCGCACGGCTTGGCCAAATTTAGGGAAGAGTAATAATAGAACAAAAGTTATTAAAAGTTTCATGCAGTGTTCCTTTAAGTAGCTGCCCCTCCAAATACACACAAAAGGTTAGCACATAAATTTCGTTTTGCATGCCTTAGAATTTAGATAAACCAAGCAATATTTTTTAATAGTAAAACAAACCAATAGAAAACTGGCATCTTTGAAACTGAGTTGGAGTAGATAAGAATACAGACTTTAACTTCTAGTAAATATTGCCCAGTACATTTTTATATTTATTACATGAATTCCCTGATTTTCCTCCACTCTGCTCAGTCTTACTTTTTTTTATGAGTCTCCTTGAATTGAGGCTATTTCAGAAACATCACTTCAAAAGCATCACATTTCAACATTCAGGATATTTGCCTGAGAAACCTTGAGTAATTTTTTACATATTTCCCAAGAATTTAATTTATAACACTGTGAGTTTGGCTGAATTGGTGATCTTAATGAAGGTCCTATGAAGAAATCATGAAAATTAAATAAGCCCAACCTTAACTGAATCTAATAATAATAATATACAGCTACATCTGTGTTGTACGGTGGGTGATGCTGAGTGTTTTACTTTAGCCAAAATCACAGGGCTAGAATGTCCTCAAGTAGCTGGTTTGCCCTCGTGTAACAGTTTATAATTATGATGTTTTGGACAAACTGTAACATTTGGATGAATACTTTACAATGTTAGAATATTTATCCTGTAATAAATAGTTTAGCAAACTAAGACAGCACAAGGAACGTTTGCATTTCGGAAAGGAAGACAATTCTGGAATGCAAATGGGGTTGTTTAATCAAAGTACTTGATTAACCACCTTGACATTTAAATGTAGATTTGCCATCACCTCAAACCCAGTAACACTGGGTCATGTTTACTGGTCAGCTGTCAGTCCCTGAAAGTTAACAAAAAAAATAGTGTAATGTAATTTCTATCTTCTAGAAACCCCAGGAAATCTGTACTGGATGTGAGTTCATCTCAGACTTCCGGGGTATAGTCACTGGACTATTTATTCAACAAATATTTGAGCTCCTACCGCCTACCAGGCAGAGCTCCAAGCTAGATATCTATTTGTGAATGAACCAGATACAGTCTCTTTGTGGAGATTGCAATGTAATATATCTGGGTTGTGTGAGACTCAAGGAACTGCCCAGATCTCCTTTCATTCATTCTCCCAGGGGTCCTTAGGGAAGCTGACATCCAACTGAAGGTAGGGATGGACCCCAGAATAAGGTTAAGTGGCTTAGAGACTGGCAGACATTTTTGAGAAGGGATGGCCTAGCATTTGTCTTGATATTGACCCATAATGGAGAGCTGTCTCTAGGAGCTCTGTGACATAGTAAGTGGACAGAATGCCCATCGTTCAGCAAGGCCATGCAGGAACCTTCCAGAACATTCTAGTTCAGTGACTTCCTAGAGTGGAGTCTTTTGGAATCTCTGGGAGGTGGAGGTAGGTGGGGTTGCAGTGGAAGGAAAATGTGCAGGAGTTTTATCTTTATTTTTTAAACATATTTAGTTTAAAGATACATTACTTTTGTAAAATGATCACACAAATAAATAAAACTATAAGAAGCAAAGCTTGGTAACATCTTGGTCTAAGGAGATACTGAGAATAAAGGCTGTGATGAAGGGTTTCTCAGGAGGGAAGTGTGTATCGGAATGAGAGGAGGGGGTACTGAGACCTTTGTATTAATAAGAAAAGGCCATGAGTTCAAAAAGGAAATGAAAATTAAAAATAAACATCCACAACAAAGGTTGATAAATACTGCCCTGGTGGTGGGCACCCCCTGGAGAAGGATTCATTTTCTACTCGCACGAGCCACTGCTCCAGTAAATAGCCATTAGTGGTATGAGGTCTGGTAATGAACGCATTACTTAAAACCTTCACCATCTGTCCCACTTTAATCAGGAATGCAGTGAGAATGAATTCCATAAACACAGCGATAAGCCAGCAAAACCGCCCAGTAAGAGCATTTTAATACGGCATATGTCCCTTTGGCTGGCAGCGCACTTCTGTTGCATCATATTTGCTTTCCAGTGTCATTGATTTAGCTCTATTAGCATTTTAGAGCTCAAAGGCTCTTTTGAGACCACCTAATTCCTCCTCATCATTTTATAAACGAGGACAGTGTGAATGAGGGACTATTCCACCGTCCTCCACTTAGCAGTTCACAATCCTTTCCATTATGCCCACATCTTCTCTGATGTGGGATAAAAGGGATGCCATTGGTTCCTAAATCATTTAGATGTTAACATATGGCAGTGATTTAAGTTGGTGTCCACTCCACCTTGATCAATAAGGTGCGGGGACTCTTACACTCTTCAGAGGTGTGGTTTTGGCAAGAGTGGATTGCCCACTGGGTGGTGCTGTGAACGCCTTTCCCTTCCCAGAAGACACTGTCCCTGAGAAGTGCTAGCTGATGTAGTGTGATTTTCCGTGTTGTCAGAGAGGCAGCATTAAGAGTCCAAGCTACAAGGACCTACTGTATAGCACAGGGAACTCTACTCCATATTCTGTAATAACCTATATAGGAAAGAACATGAAAAAGAACGGATATACATGTATGTATAAATGAACCACTTTGCTGTACACCTGAAACTAACACAACATTGTAAATCAACTATACTCCAATATAAAATAAAAATTAAATTAAAAAAAGAGTCCAAGCTAAATACTGGAGGCTTGACCAAGGCAGAACATTTATTTGTCCAGCTGTCTGGTCTCCTTGAACCCTGGTGATAAAGATTCATGAATTGAGAGTAAGTCCGTTAGAAAGAATGTTTGTTAAACACCATTTTTCCTCCTATAAATTCAAAATATATTATCAGTGATGTGTTTCTTTGATGACCCAAGTGTCATAATAAGCTTGCAAAGAGTATCTTGATCCCTCAGATCAACTAAGGCTACACCAGAACAGTATCTAATATATGGACAAGAATGCTACAGGAAATTTTTGAAAAAGTATAAATTTTAAAAATAACAGAGCACATAAGATATGAAGTATTTGGCACCTTCAAATTATTATATATTGAGGTCCTAATATGTTTCAGAGAAGCATGTAGACCTTTCACATACATCTCCAATCATCCCAACATTTCAATATAGATAGTATTATCCCCATCTTAGGGATGTTCAAAAAGTCAAAAACATGACTCAAACAAATATAGAATGAATACACGTCAGATGTTTTAGTCAACTCATTAATTACTGAGGGAACCAGTAAGATTGTAAAGCTGGTTTAAATAAAATATTTTTTGAAATTGGCTATTTGCATGCATTTTGAGAAAAGGAATGTAGAATAGGATTACTAGGTTAGATACAAAGGTAGTTAATATTCTTTAAGGCAATAAACCATAACCTTTGGGATTACCTTTTCTACCAGGCAGAAACCTACAAATTAACATGCAACTTCACAAAGTCAGGGCTCTAATCAAATAATAAAGTCACACGCAAAGAAATTCTCCAAGAGAATTAAAAAAATCCTTGTGTCAGGTTATTAAACAATGACCCAATATGACATTAAAATTATATATTTTGATTTACAAGTTTTGGTTAATTTTTCTTAACAGTGATAAGGTCTAGAAGGGTTAAAACCTTGGCAAAACTTAACACAGTCACCAAGTTTCAGAACCAGTTCTGTCCATGTCCAAAGACATTCTAAGATTTTTGCTCTAATGGCACTGTCTTGTCTTTTACCCATATAAATACTACAGAAGGAATGATTTTAAACAGCATTGTAAATACTGTCAAAACATCTATTTCCATCAGATATAAAAAAGAACACAATCCTCCCAGCTTGGTTTTTCATGGACTCATCTATTTTCCTGTTGGATATAGAGAGTTTGGTTTAATGGTGACAATCAGAGACCTCTTTAGGGATTCTTTCACAATGTCAACATTTCTGTTATATCCTAATTAGGAAGTGACTTTATCACTTATGACTTTGATCTTTCACTAAATATACATTTACTACTTTTCTACCTCGGACAGATGCCATGTAAGCAGGTAGGTATCAAGACAAGTGCAATAATATCCTTGGATACCAACAACTCAAGATTACCGGAGGAGAAGCAGGTGGAATGATGGGAGAGCCAGTGTCTAGAGAGAGATGGGCAGGCAGTTAGCATTTAGGGCGGGATGGAGAGACAGAAGAGAAGTTTGACTGAGCAATGGACTGGGGGAGGGGCCAAAGCAAAGCTCTCCAGAAAAACGTGGTTAGTGAAGACAACTAGTCTTGATCTGTCCTTGAGCGGCTTACGCTACCGAGTCCAAAACCGCTCTGCTCGCCGCACGACAGGCTAATAAATCGGAAACGAGGTGTTGAGGCAAGGAACACGACTTTATTTGGAAAGCCGGCAGACGGAGAAGACAGCGGACTAAAGTCTCAAAATAACCATCTTATCGGGGTTTGGATGCCAGTTTCTTTTATAGCACAGAGGGGGAGATGAGGAAGTAAAGTAAAAAGGCGTAAGTTTTGCAAATATCACCTGGAATGGCCAGCCTCGGGGAGGGGATGTGTTAATTTCTTCTTTTTTGCAGCCATCCATGGCTGGAACAGGGTCTGGATGTTTCCCTGATCAAAGGCAGTTTGGTTTAACATTCAGACAGAGGGGCAGGGTTCCCCGAGGCAGGCCGTTATGTATAGATGGTATCCTTTTAGTGAACAAAAGCAGTGGAAAGCAAAGGTTAAAGTAAAAGAAACAGATTCAACATGTAGTCAGACCTGGCTCTTCCCTGTTACACTTGTAAACCATGCTGGAGAATGCCTGCCCCGGACTTCACTGGGGTGGGTTGTAACAGCTCCGTATGAAATGAGCTCTTTAGCTCAAAACATATTTCTAGTATTACAAGAAGCATCTTTTGCGAACAGTTTGCAAGAATTCCTTGCTGAATACACACGCACATAGAGAGAAAGAGAACGAGAGAGAGAAAGGGAGAGAGAGAGAGAAATAAAGGAAAAGAAATGAGCAAAAATTGTATTTTATTTTCTCCTAGGAAAAGAGGACACTGCTAGAAAAAAAACTGTCTTTGGAAAACAAGCTGCTGCATCTCAAATCCAACGCTGCCTATGCTAAAAGGTTTGCAGATCTCCTACGTAAAAGCAGTCCCCGATATCTTTCCTCTCTTCAGGTCCACTGACCAGTGGATAGAAGGCAACTATCCCCCAAGGAAAAGGAAGCCTGAACGTGCAGGAGGAAGGGAGATTTCTTAGCATTAACAGCCGTGTGCCTCTCCCTCCCTACCCACTGGGGAATCTGGATGGGGCAGAGGTCACTGGGGGTACAGGGAAACTGGTGTGTGTCTATGTGTGTGGTGGCTCGTTAATCCTTTTGAAGAGTGAATGAGCCTGTCCGCTCCCTGTTTACCCTTGGTGCTGAAGAGGATGCTGTTGAGGTCTCCCTTCCCCCGATGCTTCTGATTTTGTTAATGGATCTCCGCTACAGCCGGCCTTAAATTAGCTAGCCCGCAAGTGGAATCGTAAGATAGTTTTGTCGTGCTCCCAACTTCGTAGAGAATGAAGGAAATGCTGTGAAAAGCATCCTTAGTTCTTGGGACTTACTTACAAATATTCGTAATTCACAAGCAGTCCTGGTCCTTGTGTGCTGGGGTAGGGATGGATTTATGGGTTGATGGGTATCGAATGGCTTGACTACTTGGCTGCTGTTAGAAAAATTCTCTGGAATGTCATAGAATAACTCATATCATATGAAATCTCCGGAACTTTTTCTTTTCTTTTCCTTTCCTTTCTTTTCTTTTAATTCTAAGCCTAGCACAATCATTATATATTCTGATATAACATCCAAAGTCAAATCTATTTCAAGATCTTAGTTTATCCATCTAGACCTCTTGATCTAGGCACTATTATGAATCTCAAAATGTACACATTCTTATTCTCATTTATTCAATAACATCTGCTCAGACATCACTTTCTCTTGGTCTTTTGATTTTTTCCTATCTCCTTTTCCTTTCCCATTATCTCTCTTTCTCATCATTGGACCTCATAAGCCAAAGTCCAGAACTGGGCTGACCCTGGCAATTGTACCTACATATTTGAAACACACTGGGATACCACTGATATTAATTTCCTCATACGCTTCCCTGTGAACACGCATATAGCCCCAGAAGGTGGATTTCTGAGTTTCATAGCACTGTACTCTCTGTAGAGAATAAAGGAAATATTAGGGAAAATATCCATAAGTTTTTGGAATTACTTGTATATACTCATAATTTAACTCTAAGTAAATTTTTGGCTTACCTCTTTTTTTTTTTTTCCCTAAAGAGAGCTTTTCCATGCAGCAGAACTACAGCTGGTACACTGTGCCTTCCATTAAGAGTCCAGACAATGAGTTTGATTTATTCTTTAAAACATGATTTTTTATTGATAATAGAGGTTTTGTCAGTCTTTGAGCCAAAAATGTAATGACTTTAAAAACCAAACTGAGCTATTCTTTCATTTCTATTATATATGAGCAGTCAGGATAAAGAATTCTCAAAAAGCTCTTGAGGAGGTTTTAGAAATATCTTGAGGGAAATGGAGCTTCTGTGTTTCCAGAAAGGTGTTTGAACATCCTGGCTTGTGCAGTTTTCATAAATTGCAGGTGTCACAAATATTTATTTTACTTGTTATTTTGAGCCGTGCGTAGAGGTATTCCCTTTGCTAAGTGACAAGAAAATGAAATCAGTATGAGTCAGATTCCTTTAGTTAAAACAACAGAGACTTGGTTAAGCTACCATAAATAGGATTTCTGTTAGGTGAAGACTGAATAGATATGGCCATAAAGAAGATGTACTCATGGGAAGACAGGAGGACAACCCTTTAGCACCTAATGTGATTTGAAAAACCAGATTATTTTGCTGATCCCACTTAGTGATGCGTGTTTATGCAGTTTCACTCTTTTCTTGTTCGTCCTGGATGATTCATTACCTTTTCCCACCGTTTTTCACCAGCTGGTTTGTATTCTCTGTATTCTCCTTTCAGATTCCAGAGGAAAGAGTCTGACTGGCCTAATATTACTTCCTGTATTGGACAGATAGATCATCTTGACCAACCCCTGCATTGACATCCAACCAATAGCCTTTGGCAGGCGTCCCCTCCCATCCTTGTGGGTGGCCTCCCCTTACTCAAAGAATAGCCTAGGGCTTCTTCCCTGAGCAGGGGGCTATGGGTGATTTAATTTCCCTTAAACATAGATAGTTTGATAGGTGCCATGACTTTCTTGAATTGCAGTGAGTTTCATTCTACAATTTTGATAAAGAGATAAAAAGATTCAATATGTTGTAACTTGGCATTTCTAATATTAGAAAGCATCTCTGAGGGTGATAACTTTTAAGCTTTTATAATTCAGAAGAAAAAGAGTTTCTTCTTGCACATGGATATGTATGTACCATTATATTAAGCTACTCCTCACAATTACTTTTTTTTTTTAAACATCTTTATTGGAGTATAATTGCTTTACAATGGTGTGTATGTATATGTATAGCTGATACACTTTGTTATACGGCAGAAACTCACAATTACTGTTAACGGGAGTAAAAAGGTTTGGCAGAAGTCATCTTTTTTAAAAACAAGGTTGACTCCATATTTCTACTACCATCACTACTAACTGACACATCCATAGTGCCTTTCGGTTTATAAAGTAACCTGAGGGACCTTATTTAATTTGATCTTCCCATGGACCTTTCAGGGAGGAAAAAGAGCTTCTAATTGGTTACATGACCTGTCAAGATCACTCTGCTTTCCAGAAGTTGTAGGGCTGGGAGTTTGGGCTCTAGTATTGCCGTAGCAAAGCCTGTGCTTGTTCTTCTATAGAGGAGACTTGACTTTTTTTCTCTTATTTCTTGAAACTCCAGAGACCTTTTCTCTGACTGGTTTCCTCAGTCCCCTGTGTGGCTCCGAGCAGAAGGCAATTTTCCAACTTTTCTCTCTGCCCTGTGATGTCACAGACAAACACACAGGCCCATTTTAGAGTTATCCCTTGGGGAACACATTTGGGCTTTGTAAAGACAAGTAGTGTGTTGGCTTCAACATACCTGTAGAAGCTGCTTAGGGATGGTACATTCCTTAGAGGAAGAAACAGGGTATCTTGAAGATGTGGTTGCATGTCGAAGCATACTGTTGTTACTTACATCTATCTTTGGTAGTTTTGAGGGCTGTCTTAAACACCCCCATGCCCCGCCCATTTAGTGCTACCACTGAAAACGACAATGGGGAAGATTTTGACTGGCAATAGTAATACATATTCCTGAGTTCTGGTTGAAATGTGAACAGAGCTATACCTACGTCTTGTTTATTCTTTCACCTTGGTCTGGCCTGGGAAAGGTAAGGACCTGGCTCCTCCTATTCTTATGGTTGTGATTGTCAGTTTCCCTCTCTTCCACTGGCCACCATAAAGGTCCAAAGAAACATCAAATCCTAAATAGCAGGAAACCTGAGTCCCTGTAGATTCTAGTATGATTTTTTCATAGCTTCAAAGAAGCTCCAGGATGCCACCAATCTCACTATCTTCTCTCTCAAGTGGGAATTCCATATGGGGTTATTCATATGCCCAATGCTATGAGTAGTGTGCCCAGAAGTAGCAGCATCTGGTACATGCAGCATAGTTTCAGTTGCCACTTTTATTGCATTCATTTTGTCTCTCAATATCTAGCTCTTTTTATTTCTTCTGGAATTTTCATTCCTATAAACAGCATAATGCATTAATCCCTGATAATAAGTACAATTTATAAAGACTTAAAAGGGTTATGTTCTGGGGTTGTGCAAATATGGCCATCCTCATGTTCTCATACCCTTTGCAATTATGTATTTATGTACCCTGAGTTCTAAGAAAATGTAAGATCATTTACAAAAACTACATAAAAGTAACATAATCCTTTAACCGGAAATAGATTAGATGAGAAGGCCAAGGAGATGCAAGAACAGGTAATATAATGATGTTGCCCCACAAAATGTATACACGTGCTCACAGTGGACCACTGACTCAATTTTAAATTTTCTAGCAGCCAACCCAACGAGAAAACTATGATTAGTTTTGTGATTCACAATGTCCAAATGACTAAACCCAACCAGTTCTTTAGGAAACGTCCAGTTCTTTTTAATGTATCTGTAAGGCCAGAAAGAAAAATTTCCAGGATATATTCATAAAAAGTACCATGAACGATGTCTTCAACAAAATCATTATAGTAAACACAGAAGCTGTACCTCAGAAAATACTCTTAAAAAGGTTACCACGCCTCCAAAGAACAATTCAATCAAAGCCATTTGAACAGCGAGCAGCAGAGGGCAGTGTGGCAGGACTCAATAATGCTACCTCGGGTGGTGGACGTTAACCCCAAAATAGATTTTAAAGTATCCTGACCATTGGATGGAGAGACAGTCCTCCATGACCTTGATTTCCTTTGACCAAGTCTTTCGCAGACATCGGCCAGCAGAGAGATTGAGGATGTGCTTCTTGCCTAGTACTCATTCTACCGTTATCCTGTGTTACTAAAGACAAACCATTTGTTTTCACATTTCTGCAAGTTAAAGATAAGATTGACTTCCTCTCTTGAACACTAGGGAATCTAACATGAAGAAGACCAGAAATGGTACTCGGTTCACTCTCCATCCGTAGTGATTTGAGAGAGCATCTTCAGTTCCCTTTCTCAAAAGGGTGGAGCCAGGGTTTTCCTCTCTTTTTGTTTGGGCTTTTTCTATGCTCCCATTGCCGTTTCTAGGCTGTGGACTTAGCTCCAAGCCTAGCATCTATAAAGCAAGAAGAAAACCCAGGGAGGTCACCATTGTGTTGTTCCCTGGATCCCAAGGTCCCAAGCTAGTGTTCCTTCTTCTTTCCACCTCTCAGAGTCTTCTTGTGTTTGTTGATGTATAATGTTCAGGTTTTGGGTTGACTTAACAGGAAGAATAGGGGAAAACACATCTTCTATGTCTTTCTGGAAGCAGCAGTTTTCAATTCTATTTTAATTTCAACATTGACTTTGTATTTATATTGAGGCATTGGGAAGCAGAGCATAAATCCTAGATACAGACGTTTGGCCTCCTTTCCTAGGCCTGGCCTTCATTATGGTTCTTCTTACTGTTTTGCTTTAGTACATTAAGACTGAGTGCTTCAGCTGAAAGATAAATAACAGAGATTAAAGGGAGCTCAAATGCAGCTTATTTGGCGATATTCTCACATTCAAAGACCTTAAATGGATGACTAGGTTTTCTGTTTGTTGAACAAACCTAAGAGATTTTTTTTTTGCAACTTCCTTAAATCACTGTTCCAGTGTATAATGCACATAAGTCTGAAACCCCTACGCTCTCCAGAGTGCTTCCAGAAATACTTTTCTTCCATCTTAAGACCTGTTTCAGATTTTTATTTATTTACGGTGAGGTTGATGGTAATATTCTCATGAAATACCTGGGGAAATTTCCTGAGTTTTCTATTTTGGAGAACATATCTACCCACTCCCATCCTTCTAAAGACTATTTTTCTTTTCAGTCCCCGAGTTCTGGGTCATCATAAGACACGATGAGACCATTTTGAATACTCACCTTTAATAACATACAGTATTTTCATATTTTATGAATTTTCAAAGCCGACCTGGCTCCGCAAAGCATCCCGAGTTCCTTCTCATTACTCCCCAGGAAAGTCCTGAGTCTGGCTCCTCTTTCCTCCTTTTCTTTTCTCTTTTTTTCCCTTCTCTCTTGAGCAATTTTGAATGTTAGCACCAGCTGTGGGCCAGATTTCCGTTTGCCTCCGTGTCACTTTGATCCTTATGTCCACGACTCATCTGTTTTTGTGAAATGCCTTTTTGAGTCACTTTCTAATTTTTATGCTGAGTTCCTGTTCCATTGATCTGTAGATGTTCCTTATATATTCTGGATACAATGCCTTTGTTAGTCATTTATGTTACCGAGATTTTGAGGCTATCCTACTCACTCTGATTTGATGACTAGAAGTTTAAAATTTTTGTCTAGTCAAACTTATCTTTTACTTTGCAGGTAATACTGTTCTAAGTTTTATTTGAACAATCTTTCTCTATTCCAAATTCATGAAGATGTTCTTCTGTATTATCTTTTGAAAGTTTTTTGGGTCTCCAGTTTTATCTACATGGAATTTATTTTTTTGAGGAAGTGAGGTTAGGATTAATTTTCTTTTTCATTTTTTCCTATGAGTATCCAGTTGTCACAATATCATTTGTTGAAAAGACCATCCTTTTATAATATTCTGTAACATCATCTTTGATATAAATTGTATAATGAACTACATTTCACGTATATTTTGTGACATACATTGTGTAATTATACAGTATTTTATAATATAAATTATTTCATTCCATAGGATAAATAAATAATAATGGCTATCATTATACATCATTTGTACTTGTGCAAACATTTCTATAGTTTTATAGAAATTAATTTTTTCTACAGTAAAACAAACTCTTTTTAGAGCTCTCTCATACAAAACTGAACAAGGGAAAAAAATCAAGACTGTCTTAAATATTGCAAATTGCCTGAAAGTTACTCGGCTTTGAGTGACTTTACTGTATATTAAACATTATTGAGACAACTGTAGTGGATTAGTGCTGTGCTACTCAAAGCACTCAAAGCCTGGCTCACGGACCAGCAAAATCACTGGAACACCTGGGAGCATGTTGGAAATGCAGACTCTCAAGCCCTTCCCCAGGCTATCGGATTAGAATATGCATCTTAACAAGATCCCTGACAATTTAACAAGATCCTCCAATGCATATTAAGTTTGAGAAGCAATGTTTTAGTACATGATGTAAAACAAAATGGAGACTCTTTTTAAAAAAATGAGAACAAGTTCCGCCGTAGTGTCACATGAATTTCTATGACCTTTGTAATGTTTGTAGAGACTGTGAAAATCAGAATTGCGATTGAATTGGATGTTGGCTACTAATTGTGAAACCTTAATAAGCTAAAATAATATATTACTTTATAAAACGCTCGTTTTCAGAAAGCACATTCACTTTATCTCTTTAAGTGTACAGTATAATCTTGCAATGCTGTAAAGGTAGGGATTGTTATACCTGTTATACTGAGGCTTAGAAAGGTTATGTGACTCCAAAATTACAATGCTCCCAAGTTTAGGGGTCTTGTCTCAGGCATTTTGCCTCAAACTCTAATAACATTGGCAAGAAGAGAAATAGTCAAAAGGCATGTAATCAATACCAGTTACTTAAATGGAGCTTTGGGAAAGGATGAATAATCTAAATTCAAACTTCACTCATCTTTCTTCACCATGGTTCATGTGGACTCAAAATATTAGCTGGAATTTAATTTTTCTTTCCTTGCCTTATTTACATGTAGTAGAATTAACGAAAATAGGAAGCCAAAAAAAAAAAAAAAGACAAAACAGGCAATTCACAACCTATACTAACCCCTGTATCCTTGGAAGTTGGTTTCTGATATGTGTGTTAAGTCTCCATTCCTGGCCCCATGTTCTAACGCTACTATCCCATATGTGTGTGCTCTGATGGACGCTAGGTCTGTGGATGCTCTTAGGTGAGACAGATTAGATATATAAGTGCTTCACCTGGTTCGATGCAACTTGACTCAACTACCTGCTGGAGGGAGGGAGTCACAGGTGGCCAGAGAGGAGCTTTGGACATGAATCGATCCTCTCATTCAAGTTCATGTCTGAGCTAATCAGAGCATGCTTCATGACTGTTTATCTTCAGTGTGTCTTGTTTGGCATAAGGGACCCTGGGCATCTTACCTACATGTTGCCCAGCAGTAGAGTCAGTGAGGAGATCCTGGTAGCACAGCTGTAAAAATAGCTGTATAATGCTTTAGCAAACCTTTCTCTCTTTTTTTCCTTTGCATTTCCAGTTGCCAGGATCTTCAAAAGGAGATTTCCCTCCTCCAGGAGCAGATCTCTCATCTGCAGTCTGTGATTCACTCCCAGCACCAGAGCCTGCGCAGTGTCATCCAGGAGGTCAGATTAATCAAGTGTGTTTCTGCGGTAGCTAGTGTGTTTCCAGTGAGGAGACCAAATACGTGTGGCTTGCCTGGACTCTACGAGCACTGAGATTCTTCTCCCCATTGACATTTCCTTTTTATCCCCACGTGACAAGGCTCTGTTTTCAGTGTCCTCTTTTGTCTCTATGCCGACACCTGTGATGTTCTCAACGAAGATATGTGGGAAATTGTGTTTGCTCTTTAGATGTTTTGGTGTTTTTTTTTTAAGTGTTCTGAGCTAGATAACGCACGCTGTTCTTTAGCAGATTTTGTAGATTAGGAGATTCAGCCCTTTCTTGAAGAAGAAATGCTCTGTTTTCATAACCTCATAAGTGGTTAATTTACGTAGAGGGTGTGTTAGCACAGGGCTGTAACCTGGCCCTACCTCGCTGGGAACATCTTGGCAGGTGAAAGAGAAGAGGTCATCGTGATGGCAGCCAGATGGATGGTGAATTGCATACTCATACAGTTTACATCAAGATTTGTATTGATCTGGTTTGGGAATCTGCTTTAGACTTAAAACCAGAACTTCATCCATTCGTTTTTTTTTTAAACTACCTCATATTTGTTTCTAAAAGGAGTCCTTCTAAATGACTCAAATGCCTTCTTGACATAAATGTAACATTCATGCTTGCTGCGGTAGGACCTCTCCAAACAGCCAGAGAATTGAGTCATAGCACTTGCGAGTCAGGGAGGACAGAGGGGGCATCCCATGTCCTCATTTTACAGATGAGAAAACTGAGGCCCACAGTAGTTAAATGATAGAGCTAGCCTTGGAATCCACGTGTTTCTTCTCTTCTGGCACCGTCCTGGATATCACCCCACACGCCCCAGTTCCATGTTGCCTCTTAACAGATGCTTTTCTTCCGAAGCAAAGTGGGCTCACCTTAATATGCTGCTGGTTGACCAGATCTCTGCCGCAGGGAGCTTCCCCATGCCAGACCACGGCCTTGCATCATGTCCCCTGGCCTCTGCCTGTGCAGGATGAAAATGTTAGGTGGCTGAGACACAGAACAAGGACCAGTGTTGTTCCACAGGATGCACTCCTGCTGAGTTTGGTTTAAACAGGTTTTCTAAAGATTAAAGTGTTTAATTGCACTGTCTGTGTGCTCTCGTCCCCAGGTGCCAATTTGTCCTGTTATTTTCTGTAGCCTGCTGAGTCCGCTAATGCTTGGGATTTAATTTTGTTGATTTGATAAACATTACTTGACCACAGAAACCTGTACAATTTCTGACTTAAGGAACTATTCTCTGTTGCCTGACAAGATTTTTGCATTTGTGTTTCTTAAATCTTAGATGGAAGGCTTAAAAAATAATTTAAAAGAACAAGATAAAAGAATTGAAGATCTGAAAGAAAAAGTTAACATACTTGAAGCCCAGGTAAGGAGGGAACCTGTTCTATATTTCAGTATGAAGTGAGTATGTGTGTGTTCAGTATATCTGTGAGCCTGCGTACGAATGTGTCCTGTGTGTTTGTGAGTGCTTGTGTGCGATGGTGTGCCAGTGTGACACTGTGTCCAAGTATGTCTGTATGTGAATGAGTCTGTGTGACTGTATGTGAATGTGTCTGTGTGATTGTGTGTGATGTGTCTAGGTGTATGTGTGAGGACATGCATGTGTCTCTATGTGGGTATGAATGCCTTTTTGTGAGTGTGTGTGTGCATCTTCTATGTATAAGAATTATAGCTTTGTGGGGGAGGTACTCTTAATCATTATTAAAATATTAAGTATTAAACATAATTTTATATTATTAAATTATTAATATTAAATATTACTAAGGAATTGTTGAAAGTTTATTCAAATGTTCCAGAATACTTTCTCTACTGGGGAGACCAGTGATACTATCTCTCGATGTGGACTTGAGTTAGAAGCTTGGTCAAGGCCTCTCTTGCGTGAACTCAGCTCTAGCCAGATAGCCGGGTCTGCTGTCTCCTGTCTTTCTTTCTTTCCCCCGTCCTGAGACATACTATTCCTCCTCTTTCTCCATCCGTATCCAACAGGGCATCCAAGCTTTGCCTCAGGGCTCACCTACTTCAAGAAGCCAATTGAAATTTTCTTATGTTTCAGTGTTTTATAACTTATCATAAACCTTTATATGTGATAAGATGTGCTTTACTTTTGCCCACTCATCCCCACCTTGACTGGGGCGTTGAGTTGCAGTTCAGGCTGGTGAGCTGCAGTCCTAGGCTGGTGGTACCCCTACCTCACAGGAAGTACAGAGAAGCCCTGTGGTTATTGGAGCACCTGACGACCCCCAGGTGTCTCCAGCCCAGCTCTGCTTTGTGCTCAGTGTCACCCCTTCTGTCTCTGTTGAATAGCTCATCACGGACCGCCTAGACTTGATCACCTTTTCTACTGCATCCCTCAGCATTGTGACTTCTCTGTGTGTCACGTTGTCCTGTCCAGAGATGCTCTGTCTTCCATGGAAACCTGTTTATCTTTTGGAGCTGTTCTCTTCCCCAGGACAGACCAGAGAGGAGCTCCATGATTGGACTCCCAGCACACGCCTCACCATTCTTTCCACCACCACATTCTTTCTGCTTTCCTCAAACAGAAGAAAAAAATCATAATAACATAAAGAGGTTGTAAATATTTTGCAACTTAAGTTTTGGAACCATCCCCCTGTTTCGCCGTTTCTACCTTCCTGGGACCACTGTTCTCTTTATTTTAGAGGGTAAGCTCATCGCATCTTGGGTTTTCCTTAGATTCTCACCTAAGTAAGATGTAAATTGGTTAGTTTACATCAGGTGATGTGATTTATGTCGCATTAGAGCCCCCTCCTCCTAAGAAATGTCTTTAAAGGCATTTCCTCCCAACTTTTCTTATGTAGTGGCCTTTTGACAAATGTTACTTGATAAAATATTTTTTCTTATAAATATTTTTCTTATAATATTTTAATAACTATTTTTTATTTTTTTACATAACTAACATATGGTCATTCATCCCATACAAATTAGGAAATATGGATGAGCAAATATAACAAGAAAACCACTCAAACATACCATCCAAGGGCAATTATTCAGCACAGTTGTGTATATCTCTATTTCTGTGGGAATTTTGTGCCTGTTACATACTTGTGTGTATGTATTAGAGATACAGACTATATATGGCATCATTTTATTGTGTTTTTAAACTTTTATTTGTTTCAACAATTTTTTCATATCACTAGTTACATAAGTCTATAAATACTTTTTTTTTTTTTTTTTTTTTTTGCGATACGCGGGCCTCTCACTGTTGTGGCCTCTCCCGTTGCGGAGCACAGGCTCCGGATGCGCAGGCTCAGCGGCCATGGCTCACGGGCCCAGCCGCTCCGTGGCATGTGGGATCTTCCCTGACCGGGGCACGAACCCGTGTCCCGTGCATCGGCAGGTGGATTCTCAACCACTGCGCCACCAGGGAAGCCCCTATAAATACTTATTGAGTGGCTACTATGGTGTAGGCACTACGTTTGGATAAACAATGTTGAACAAAATAGACATGAGCCCTGCTGCCTGGAATTTACTAACTGATGAGGGAGATAGATACAAATAAATTAATATGTAACTAATAATATCTTGGAAAAGTTCTGCAGGAAAAGGACAAAATACTCTGGGCAATAATACCTGGATGGAGGAATGTATATGGACCATTTAGATTGGTAGGTGGGAACAATCTCTCTAAGAAAATGAATTTCAATATGACCTTTGTGGAAAACTGGGTGGTAGGGCATGTCAGGTAGCCAGACAGGAGGCCATTGTGGGTGCTTCTAATCTAAAAGCTGTAAATAGTGTAGGATGACATTGGAAAGGTAGGAAGGTGCTAGATCATAAAAAGCCTTCAGGCTATGCTAAGGGCTCTTTTTCTCTATAGAACGGTATAACAAGAAAGTCTTTGCTTACCAGGCAAATTAGATTTACATTATCTTTTTAAAGAGCCACGAAGGTTTCCACTGTATTGCTATGAAATAACTTAGTTAACTTAATCCCTGCTGTTGGATTGTTTTCCAGTACAGCTTTTGTAAACAGCAATGAATTCAACAGACTTTTACAAACGTTACCGATTATTTGTATAATTACTTCCTCCCTTAAGATACATTTTTAGAAGTTGAATTGGTAACTCGAAGACTATCCATTTTTAAGATTGTTGATCTGTGTTCTCTGAATTTCCATGTCTGCTGGATCAGACATCTCCCTCAGCTGCCACAGCCTCACCTGCTGCTGCCTCTGCTCTTGCAGTTAACTCTACTCACTTTCAGTCTTTCAGTTCTGACATTTCTGATCTGCTAATAGCCCTCTTTTTTCCTCTTTATTACTAAGGGATTTCAATATTTAAAAATCCTTTGGTATCGTTCTAATGAAATCTAAGAAAGTAGAGATGAAAAACACATGTGCTTAGGGCTTCCCTGGTGGCGCAGTGGTTGAGAGTCCACCTGCCGATGCAGGGGACACGGAATTCTCATTTAGATCCAAGTTTATCTGTAATTCAAGGCAGTCCGGTGTAAGGTAGGGATCTAATTTTTTAGTTGTCTCACTTTATTGAGCAGTCTGGCCTTCCTTCATGATTTTGAAATGCTGATATATCCTAGACTAAATTTTTATGCTGGAAATCTGTTCCAATGGTGTATCTGCCTATTTGGCTCCAATGCCCTACTGCTTTAATTATCATACATCTGTAATACATTTTAATTGGAGAGATTGTTGTCTTTCTCTGATCTTTCATTATGGTCCTAGGCTCTGGTCATGTCTAATTAAGTGTTAGCCCTCATCACAGAGTCAGGGCATCAATGGTGCTACTGCTTCTAATTCAATCTTATATTTTTAGTTGTGTCTCTATTTATATCATCCCCAAAGCTAATTTTATTGTCCTAAGTAAACTGGCAACTTAACCTATACACTACATTATCCAATTGGCCTTTTGGTATAATAGTTAGACCAGAATAATGTATTGCTTCCATTGCACTGCTTCTATATCCCCAAATTTAGCAAATAATTGCAGGCTAGCCACTCAGTGTGATAGGAGGAAGCAATAGATTGTGTTCCCCTCATGGAAACTTCTTGGTTGGATGCAATCTGCCCACATTGATGGGACAGCATCTCTCAGTACTGCCTAAGATTCTCTGTATGATGTTGATTCAAACTACTATTTTCTAACATTCTCTTTTATTTAAAAAAGTCTTCAGATAAAGCAGTATTGATGAATGTCTTTTATGACCGCAAAATTTATTGTCTTCAGTAGATAAATCATTTCCTTCACTGTAGGGAATGTTACAACGCCCTTTTCAGCTTTAAAAAGCCCGGCCAAGCCACATTAGTTTATTTATTCAGCAAATAGTTTTGTGTGTTTATGATGTACCAGGAAATGTTCTAAGTGGTAGGTACATGGTAGGAACAGGACACACTGTCCTGACTTCATCTAGCTTTATTTTAATTGAAGATACATACAGTAAATACATAAACAAGTAAGTACACAACTTAATTAGGGACGGGTAACTGCTCCAAGAAGAGTAAAACAATGTGACAGTTATAAAGTGATGGGAGTCAGGAAGAGCATCTCTGAGCCTGTGATCTTGGACCAGGTACCTGAATTTAGTAAGTGCTTGAGCTGGAGTGAACCTGTTTCTAGTCTAGCCCTAGTCAATGCTTCGTTATGAAGATCTTAAACTGGGAGGGCATGCAGGGGTGTACTATCTTGCACACAAACTTAGGACTATCCTATTTTGAAATAACAGTGTGAGCCGATTCAGTTTGTGAAAAATTGGTCACCAGAGCTGAACAACCCTTTTAAAGACATCAACTTTCTAAACCATACAGACAACATAGTTTTCTCATCCATAATAACTCATCTCTTTTAAGGCATGCTACATACTTCATTTTGTTTAATCTTCAAAGCTACTCTGGGAGAAAACTATTATTTATTCCCTCAGGGATTAAACTGAGATTCAGAGAAGTTAAGACACTTGTTCAAAATCACTCGGCTGCATTTGAGTCTAAATGAACAGATATAATGTTAAATTTGCAGAATCATTTGTATGTATTTTAGCCATTGTCACAGTTACTACATTAAATGTTTTTCTGTTTTCCAGTTTTTTGACTCATGGAAACTAATACTTTTTTCTGTGTATTCTTTTCTATCCTACCAAGGACTTCCCACCCTCCCCCCCCACCCACAAGGGGATAAAATTCACTCATCTAACTCTGTCCTCTTTTTTTCTTTTCAATCTTTCAGGATTTTAAACCTCTTTTAAGTATCACCAGAAAATTTCTGCTTAACTCTGCCAAAATTATTTACTTTTCTTTCTACTTTGGCATATCTTTCATCATCTTAATTTACAGCTCTGAAATTCATCTCACATTTCACACATTTCTAACTTCTTCACTAATGACATGCTCATATGAAAATGCATCTTCAGAAATTACTCCATTTTCTAGACTTTGAAGAGTATCCTACTTTATGTAATCACCATCATCCCTAAAATTTAATTTATTTCCAAGAGCATGTTGCTAGAAGTTTAAGTATGCAAAAATTAGGTTCTTTTGGAAAACTGTGTCCGTGAACTATCCTTGGATAGAGTCATAATAATGGTGGACTTACTCTGGTCATTGATTTGTAATTTTGTAAACTAATGATGAAAACTCATGCATTTGGTTGTTCTAGTTAAAGAAAAGCATATGAAAGCCCATGAATCAAAAATAAAGACCTAGGGCTTCCCTGGTGGTGCAGTGGTTGAGAGTCCGCCTGCCGATGCAGGGGACGTGGGTTCGTGCCCCGGTCCAGGAAGATCCCACATGCCGCGGAGCGGCTGCGCCCGTGAGCCATGGCCGCTGAGCCTGCGCGTCCGGAGCCTGTGCTCCACAATGGGAGAGGCCACAAACAGTGAGAGGCCTGCGTACCACAAAAAAAATAATAAAATAAAAAAAATAAAGACCTAAATCCAGTAGATGAAATAAATCATCACAGAAGTTGAAATATATGAAAATAAAGACAGTCTAAGCTGATAACTCTTATGCTTCTGCAATGTTTGGAAGGCAACAACTTCAGAAAGTAGGAGTTTATTTTGGAAAAACTCCAAATAGCTTCTACATACTTGTCCAGCCACAAAAATATTTTTATTCCAATGCTTGTTGTCATCATGATATTGTGTTTCAAGTTGTGCTTCATAACTTGTAAAGTACTGTACAGAGAGGAGTTTTTCTTAGCCACGTACTTGGCCCTGATATATGCCTGCACTTGTTTGGAGTGTATATTCGATATATCTCCATTATACAAGGAACATCTATATCATCAATTTGTCAAATCTGAAGTACATTTCCTGAGTGAGACTTAAGTGCTTAACTCTTGAAATATCACAGTGAAATGATTCATGTGTGAAGATTTTTGGTCCATCTTTTAGTTATTATTCCGTATAGATGCCGAGGGGTAGGAAGGTACAAAATTCACATCTTGTCTCTGCTTTCCTTAGTTCAGTAGTTCTTCATCTTAACTGTACATTAGTATCACCTGTGGAGTTTTGAAAACTCCTGAACCTAGATTACAACCAAATTAAATGGAAACTTTGGGGGTAGGACCCAGGCATCACTAGATTGTAAATCTCCCAGGTAATTCCAATATACAACCAACATTTAAAACTACTCTGGTCCAGTGGCTCTCCGATGTGAGCAGACATCAGAATCATCTGATGAACATCTTAAAACACATCACCTGGCCACCCCGGGTTTCTGGTCCAATGGCTTGGTTGGGAATTGAGGATTTGTAGTTCTAATAAGTTCCCAGGGGATGTTCCGATTGTTGATTCCAGGACTACACTTAAAGAACTGTGTCTTCATCTTTTTTCTCTCCCTTTTTTCCACCTAACCCATTTCACCTTGTCTTCAAGGTCCAGGTTAAACGTCCTTGTGTAGGAAAATTATTCTAGTCACACTGATTTCTGTTTATACCTTTGAATTACTGGCTGCCTTATGGTATCTCTTGAATCGCATTTAATTAATTTATTTTTAATTTTTGAATGGTCACATGTTTATCACCTCCACCATACGGTGCATCCTGTGTACTAAAAGGGAAGATACTATCCTTTCTTGTGCTGTGTCACATTCCCTCTGCTACTGGTATGGTGCTGCAGACATGGCAGGGACCGAGTAACTGGGTGTATTGCGGGGGGCTGGATGTTTGGGGTAGATTCATTGTTGATTAATTCCCTGACAGTTTGCTGTCTTCTCTTTCCTATATATCATACCTGGAATCCTTTCAGAAATCACTGAATCTCTTTATCTCCTGGGGTCCACCGATTGCTTATTTGTAATATAAGGAGGCTGGGCGAATTCCTCTGGTCACAGAAAAATAACATCTTGCAGGGAAAAGAGCATGAGCTTTGGAGTCAGACAGGCCTGCATAAAGCCTGCACATTTGCAGACCCATGCTGCATATACTACCTGTGGGTCATTGGAAGCAAGGTTCCTCGTCAATTTGAGTTTTGCCAGCTTTATTTCTTTCACATACATAACAACAATGAAAGTTACTCCTCAGAGATGAGTTTATATTGAAGAAAAGAATGTCTGGAAAACACCAGGCAAAAGTCTTGACATTTGCTAGGTACTCAGAATTATGAACTCTTCTGCTTCCATCAAAATTCTGGTGTCTATTTCCCAAAACCATGCATTCTGGTGCTGGCTTACTCCAAACCAGCAGATGGAGTCTTACAAAATAACTTTTATTCAGTCCTTCGTTTCCTACAAGGGAAGGGAGCTGGTGTGTTGCTGTTCTTTGAAAGCCGTGGCGCCTCTTCTGCCTTCCTCCCACGGTTACCTTTCAGGCCCAGAACTTTCTGTACAGATGTATCCTTGAAGGACTTCTGGCCTGCCCATGCAGCCAACTGGCAAGTCAACCTTGGGCATGAGTCTTCACTGGAAAGTCTCACTTTCCAGATCTGTAAAAAGAAATTGTTTGGCTTTGCTGCATTGTAGAGAAAGTATTGTCTCTGGACTGGGAGGCCCTGGCTTTGTGGGGTTTTTTTCTTTCACTTTTTCTTTTTATTAATTTTTATTGGAGTATAGTTGCTTTACAATGTTGTGTTAGTTTCTACTGTACAGCAAAGTGAATCAGCTATACTTATACATATATCCCCTCTTTTTTGGATTTCCTTCCCATTTATCGGAGGACCTGACTTTGAATCTTCAGTTCTGCCCTGAACAAGATGTTGGGCACTTAAACTCTTTGGACCTCAGTTTTTATATATAATATATAATAATGGGCCTTGGACTAGAAAGTCATAACCAGCTGCCTTTCTGTCTTAAAACCTGTGCCAGACACCGAGCTGAGTAGTTTATGTACTTTTATTTCATTTCAGAACCTGTGAAGAAGAGACTATGATCATATCTGTTAATACAGATGAGGAAATTAGGCACAGAGAGGATAAGTAAACTAAATGAGGTCACACAGCTAGCAAGTGGTTGTGCTAGGATTTGTACCTGAAAACTTAAACGCTTTCCCTTCCCGTTATTAGCCATTGCATTATCTCCCAGAATTCCAAGGTGCTTCCAGATTTAAAATATTATGGTCGTATGATATCTGTTTCTTCCACCTTATATATGGTAGTCAGAACCACTACTACTAGAGATGAAGAAACTGAGGCTTCAATGAGAAAATTGATGCTAAGGATGCCGTGAACCAAAAGAACAGATGGTGCCTATTTTCATGGAGTTTCTAATCAAGAGATTGCACAAGAAAGACAAATGTGTAATAAATATTGTGCGTGTCTTTCAAAAGGTTCTTTGATAGAGTTCTTTCATGAAGTTCTTCGCATCTGTCCATATAAAAGAAACTGTAAATTGAAACAGAGAGTTCAGCTGTTGAATTTCAGAGGCTAAGTCAGAAGACTGAATTTGAATCCCTTGGTAAATTATGCATTTTTCAAGGAGTGTTTGTATTTTCAGAAGTAATATTTGGGGACTCGCAACTGGCTATGTTCTGTGTTCTAATACAGTGACTGAAACAACAGACTTACTGCTAAAGAGGGATGTAGATGGTGGGTCGTCCAGAAACACTAAGCACATGGCTAGTAAATGTGCTAACATGCATGTGATCTCTGCACAATTTTTGTTTTCTATTTCAGAACAAAGAACTGAAAACCAAGGTGGCACTTTGGTCTGAAATTCCTAGGCCGAAGGTATCCAAGGCCATCTCTACAAGGTAAGGCCTCTCTTCCGCCCCCACCATCTGCCTTCACGACTCCTGTTGAACACAGTTGACATTTATATCACTTGAGAAATTATCCATTCAATTAGTACTTACGTAATCACGTGTTTACGGTCTGTCTCCCAGTTCTTTGAGAGTGGGAACTCTATTAATCTTGTTAACCACTGAATCCTTGAAGCCTGATATACGAATACTTACTTTATGAGTAAATGAATGAACAAATTTAGATATCGTTTTTCCTCTTCTTTGACATAAAACAAGCCCAGTCTTGGCTTCATCCAAACAGTACAGATTATCTCCTCCACCATCCTTGTTCCTCCATTGCTCATATTTTCTGTGTCACCGATGGGCATTTTAATCATAAATCATGTGTATTTATTTAGGTTTCCATGTCTGTCTCTCAAGTCGATTGTAAGTGTCAAGAGGGCAGGAATAGTTCCTTGTTTTTCCCTTTATTTCCTGCATTGTTAAAGGCAAGTGTCTTCAACAACTACCTAATAACGAATGAATGAAGCAATGATAATGACCCCTAAAGCAATGGAAATAATAGTCGAAACCATCAAATCACTTTCTAATTTTGACAGAATCAGAAGTGACAGGTTTGTTAAAAAAAAAAAAAAAAAAAAGCCTTCTGGGCTCAAGTCTCATTTCCATAAAATTCCATGAAATTATCACTTAAAAGAAAACATAGTCTGTAATTACATGAATCATTTAGAAAGTGACTAAAAACTTCCTGTTCTAGCAACTTTTGAATTTCCAGCCTAGTCTCTCTAGGGCCGAAACCCATTTTCTGAAACTCTCTTCTGCACAGTGCCTGACGTGGAGAATCGGGTCCCCTATGATTAGCCCCAGTCTAGGGAGTCAAGTAGATCTTTCTCCCTCTTCAAGACACCCTGCAACCATGCTTCACTTTGCTAATGATGTATGTAATTAGAGACTAGAGATAAAGCATTATGCATCAAGTCTTCTAAAATCTTTGGGCCCCCAGAGGCTAAGTCATTAACTTTTTGGCCAATAGCCCTGCAACGTCTAAAAAGGAAAATTAAGCCCAAGAAGTATTGAAAGAGGAAGTGAAATGCCCACATTTTAGAAGCAGTAAGAGAAGCAGACATTTCAGAGCAGGAAGAGTTGAAGAGTTTAGAATAGAAAGGGAAGCATGACTTTCCAAGGAAAGGGAGGATGGTCGATTTTAGCTCCTTTACCAGATACATCCTCTTGGGGTAGTGAGGTATCATGGCCAACCTCAGCTGTTTTGACCCTGGAGGGAATGGAGCCAGAGTGGAGCAGAGGAAGGAGCAACACGTGGTCTCCATATTGTACTGACTCCAGTATTGCGTGATGAGACTCAGGCTGGTACAGAGGGGATGAGTTTGAGAGAATGACTTCTATGGCCAGTTCTTTAGCTGCAGTTCATTAATAAAGGTAGTTTTAAAGACTTTTTTTCTCCCTATGACTGAGGAAAGGTCAAATGGGAAATTTTCCTAATTGAAATAGGGAAACTGGAATGAATATGCCCTTTGTTTTATAATTTTGGTAGAAATTCCAACAGTAATGATATATCTATAATGGTAGGTCTCATGTTTGCCAAATGAAATCTGACCAATTGGCCGTTTGAGAATGTAAGTGGTAGTATGGTTTGGTAAGTCTAGATTCACCAACGTAGAATGGAATTATAACTCTCGGGAGGAATTAGAATGTAAAAGTAGCTGTTAATGCAAAGAAAAACAAGCATCACATATATTTAAAAATTAATCTTGGCAAATCTCTTAAATCACTCATAAAATAGAATTCTCTCAGTCAGTGCAGGGAAAAAAAAAAAGTTTTTTTTTTCCCCAAGCATTAGAACGTATAGATGTTTCTTAAGTTGAACACCAAAGAAATGGTTTGCTGGGTATTAAGGATCAGGTTGTTAGAAAACAGCAAAACAGCAACAATAAAACACACATATATACATATATGTGTGCACACATATATGTGTGCATTTACCTAAGGTTAATGCATCCATAACGTGCTTCTACTGTGCCTCATGGGGAATTAGAATCAATTAACCATCATCAACTCGGTTAAAGCAATTTGTTCAGACTTGGTAGTACAGCAGTAGTGGAGATGGTAATGAAGGTGGTACAGCAGTTATGTCAGTAAAGCTTTATGTGCTCGATTTTGAGAATTGTGTGGTCTTTTCTACAGTGAATTGAAGACTGAAAGCATGACCCCATATTTGATGTTGGTTAGGCTACGGAAATGAGGCGCCTGGCTGAAGATCTGAATGAGAAAGACCACTACCTGCGTCTTACTTACTCCTTGAAACACAGTCTAAATTTACATATTAAAACTGCTCAATGACAGTATTTAATGGAATGTATTGTATTATATTTAATGTATACATCAATAACTTTGCAGGAAGATGACATTTCAGAAAATCAAACCAATATATATTCAAAGAAAGGACCTCTTTCTTCAAAACTTACTAATGGATGAAGAAACCAGATGCTTTCCTACGATGGAAGATGAATTTTGCTTTAAACTTAAAAAAAAAAAAAACTGAATTTTTTTTTTTTGGCAGATTTTTGCTGAAGGGACTGGTTAAGGTTGTCAACTTTGACCTTTTGATAGTGGTTTTTATGTACAGTCATCCCTAGGTATCCACAGGAGATTGGTTCCCAGAGCCCCCTCGGGTACAAAAGCCCATTCGGATGCTCAGTCCCATATATAAAATGGCAGAGTGCAGTTGGCCCTCTGTATCCATGGTTTCCACATCCATGGATTCAATCAATCGTCGGTGTGGAACCTGCAGGTACAGAGGGCTGACTGTACATAAATATAAGGAAGAATATACAGGCATGCTTCCTTTTACTGTGCTTCACAGACTCTGTGGGTTTTTTTTACAAATTGAAGGTTTGTGGCAACCTTGCATCGTCAGATGATGGTTAGCATTTTTTGGCAATAAAGTGTTTTTAAATTAAGGTATGTATATATATATTTTTAGATATAATGCTATTGCACACTTAACAGGCTACAATATAGTGTAAACATGACTTTTAGATTCACTGGGAAACCAGAAATTTCATATGACTGCTTTATTGTGATATTCTCTTTAGATTGGTGCTCTGGTACTGAACCTGCGATATCTGTGTGTGTGTATGTGTGTGAATAAATGATATATTTTAAAGTTGACTTTTGGAAAATAAGAAATATCTTACCATGATATAAATTCATCTCCTAACCCATGGTCAGTGGGAGAGTTATTCTCTACTGAATTAAGGGCAGAAAAAGGAGTAGATTCTTTTTAGCTAATTCCTCAAACCAAACAACCCTCCAAAGTCAAGAATTTCTGCCTGCTTCACAACATCTTAGGAGGCGGCTGTTCTTCAGCTGGGGTTGAACTTTGGTTGCTAGAGGCAACCCGTACATCAGCACAAAGAAATACACCTTGTGATTCTGTCTTTGTGACTGATTTTCTTTTCGATCTTTGTTAGTATTATCTAAGTAAAATGTTTAGGGGAAAGAACAGAACACAGTGCTGTTAGCTCATACCTCCCTAAAAAGGTAGTCATTATGGGTTCAAAGGAACAGTGGCTGCTGTCTGCAGCCAGGAGGGATCTGAATTCATGAACTTGGAATTATATGTCTAGTGATTTTATGAAAGTGACTTACATTTTGATACATGCATTCGTTACAGGTGGAATTTGAAATTGCTATAAGTAAAAGAAAACTCTAACTTGTAGAAATACAAACATACTGACACTCAGGAAAGCAGAACACACTTCAGCTAAAGGCATAATGGGAGACCTTTGTCATCCTAAAAGGTGAATTACCTGTAGGTTTTTTCATCATTCTCTTTGGTGTATAACTCTAAACATTTTCTCAGGAAAGATGCTTCATGCCTTTCAAGGTAGAGTGTGAAACATCTGTATGATCTATGAAATATTTAAAGGTATTTACAAATGAGATGAAGTAATATCTTTCTAAATTCAGCAAAGTACTGTAATCCTTGCAATGTTGCGTAACTATTTTGTGAGTTTCATACTTCTTGTTTTTATTGCTTTGTAGTTTTTAAGGTGTAGTTACCTAATAACATTTAGGACACAGTCACCCTATGCCAGGAACAATTCTAAGTACTTCATCTGTATTAATTTCTTTAATCCTCCCAGCAACCCTCAGAAATAGGTCATATTATTTATCCCTGTTCTTCAGAGGAGGATACTGTCATTGATTAAGTAATTTTCCTAACTGCTAACTACGGAGCGAACATTTGAACCTTTGACTTGACTATTGATACTCCTACCTGGTGGTCTGAGATACCTCCCAGCTATAGAAATGTCTCTCTTTTTGCTACTTTAACAAACACAGCTTTTTTGTTGGCTTTCTGCACCACGCTGTGGATGACAGTCAGAAACAACACTTACTAATCAGGTAAATATTTTGCTGAGATGAGTTGGCCTTTCGCTGTTGGTCTACCCTCGTGAGTACTTAGTACAGAAAAGCTTCCTGCTAAAAATCTGCTAATTTTGTCATTCATGCCTTTATGCCACATCGAAGATTTTTGGTAATGCATTTCCTGGCACATGTGTAGGGGTGTGGGGATCATGAATTCTGCTTTAAGCATCTGCATGTGGTAGGAGATTTCACCTTTCACTTAGAGATCACTTAGGTTCCTCTTATACCCCAACCATCATGCTGGGTTGTAATAAATGTGAGCTTTTGGAATGGACCCATCTAACTGACCTAACAGCCTGGATGATTTCCATTAGAATAATGTATTTTCAAATCAAAAATGGAAGGACACTGTTGAATTTTATTTGGGTTTCACTATATTCATTTTTGAACACAGAAGTACAGTTCAATGTAATACAGGTAGGACCTGCTCATGTGGTCTCCAGCTTCACTTTGGGATGGTGTTTGGATCTTTTGAGAATAAGAATAAGCATCTTCAGAAGCCTAAAAAGATCTGAACTCTTCAAATACAAAAGTATTGTTTTACTAACATCAGTAGATCATTTATATGTCACGTATGGATTATTTCCTATCTCCTCATCGTTTCGGCTTCATCATTTGAACTCTTTGTTTAAATAAACATTTCTGAGTGATAAAAAATCATTACAATGGAGAATGAAATTTATTAGTCTAAAACTAGTACCACACAGAAAATACAAAAACAAAAACCTCAATTGTAGTCAAAGTATTTGTGCTTATAATTATACTCATCAAAGTATTGGATAAGAAGGTCTGAGGTGGGCTATGAAGTAACTACATGGAGGTGGGAAATGAAAAGAAACTTAGTTTCACTTTGATTACATATATTGTTACAAATTATCATTAAGAAATGTTTAAACAATTGGTATAATATATACCATTTTAATAATTGCTTATGATATGCCTTAAAATAAAGAAAATTGATGCCATATTTTGTGGGTTTTGTTTTTCTTTTTACATTAAAATTATTATGCATAAATGAATTAAGTAGCTGTTATTTGACTGTTAATGACAATATAACCCATAATAAATAGTTTCTGTCAGTGAGCAGATATTTAGATAGCTCCTTGAATTTTTCTCCTAATTTTCTGTGAATCCAAATTAACAGCAAAAGTAATCTATGATGTTTTTATTCTAAATTTGAAAAAAATGGTAGCATTATAAAATTAAGAACACACAAACACTTTATCGAATTCTTTCATACTGCTTCACTTTGAAAATTCTTACCTGGCCTGAAATCTTCTGATCTGAAAATAATTATAGAATCTTTATCAATGTCAGAGTAGGGATCCAATCTATCAATAACTAAAAATTCTTTAAACAAATATCATAAATATTATGATTCCTTTCCTACATCTCTTCCTTCCTTCCTTCATATTGAAATATAACTCAACAATAAAAACAAACCACAATATTACAACAATGGATAAATATCAAATTATTACACTTGAAAACATCCAGTAGAAAAACAGAGGATATACCATATTATTTTATGGGGACAGACAGCAAATCAGTGTTTGGGGACAAGAGTAGAGGGAGAGAGTGTGAAGGAGTACAGGGAAACATTAGGAAGTAATAGCATGTTCAGTGTGTTGATAATGGTCATATTTTCGTGGGTATGTTTTATGACAAAAAATAAATTGTACAATTTAAACATTTACTTCAATAAAGTAGTAAAAAAAAATTTAAGTTAACACTATGTTATTCTACAATCCACCCAGTTCGTTTCTCACACTAGATTCATTCATTTCTTCTTTCACCAAATATTTATTGGGGCTCTCTATTTGCCGGGCGTTGTTCTAGATGCCAAGGCGACAGCAGTGGGGAGAGGGAAGAGGTGCATCTGGCAGGGAAGAAAGAAAAGGGGAAAATCTCTACCTTCATGGAAATATCTTCCAATGATGAGGAACAGATAAACTCAGGGAAGTGCTGTGGACTCTGAAGAAAAGTGAAGCAGAACCTAGGGAAAGGGAGGTACCAGGGGTGAAAGGCTGTGGCGGCAATTTTTATCTGACCGATAATTGAAACTAAACTGTGTGTAGATTGGTCAGTTAAATAGGATACTGATTTTAAATAAGACCTTTCTCTTTGAAGGTAATATTTAAGCAAAGATAGGAAGAATGCTAGGGAAGTGATTGGAAGGAGATGTTTTTTGGTGGAAGAGGGGTCCAGGCAGAGGCAAGCACAAGTGCATGAGTCCCTAGGGGCAGGCAGGCCAGCTGTATTCCGGAATAGCCAGGAGGACATCAGCTGGACGGGCATGTAAAGAATAAGCCCCAGGGTGGCTTCCCTGGTGGCGCAGTGGTTGGGAGTCCGCCTGCCGATGCCGGGTATATAGGTTCGTGCCCCGGTCCGGGAAGATCCCACATACCGCGGAGTGGCTGGGCCCGTAAGCCATGGCCGCTGAGCCTGCGCATCCGGAGCCTGTGCTCTGCAACGGGAGAGGCCACAACAGTGAGAGGCCCACGTCCCGCAAAAAAAAAAAAAAAAAAGAAGTGAAATTTTCCTTGGTGTAGAGAACTGTGATCATACAAATACCTTACATCCAGTTTTAAAAAGAGAAATCCTACCATTACAAGATGGCCTTATTTTTTCCTCAATAGGGGGCATGTTATGACTATTTTTACACCCTATAAACCATTAGGAAAAGCAAGTCTCTACTGACTTGTCTTGAATTATTTAAGATGAATCCAGGAGGCAAAAGATTCTGCCTGTGTGAAACAGCATTACTGCTACCATGGAGTAAAGTTGAGAGAATGGTGCCAAGGATTTATTTGCTTGCAGTGGGAGAGTTGTTTATCTTTAAATTAAAAACTCATCATTATCTTGGCAAAGCCTATCTAAGTAACATATGGAGGGAGAACAACTCTGGGAACAAGGCAGCCTTTGCAAATGAACATTTAAGAGGAAGCTGTATGGTTGTGGTCTTGAATTGGCCTTGAACATTGGTCCTGTCACCAGTCTGTAACTAAAGGAGATATTACCACTCGCCTCAGCATTTTATTATGGTGAAGAAATAGGTTATAATACATTGAGGTGTTGACATACCATGGAATACTGTTAACATGCTAACTGCTAAATTTATAAATGTATCATTTAAAATTATTAGAAAAGGTGCCTTGAAAATTCCAGCCTTTAAACAAATAATAAATTAGAAAGTTTAGAGAGATGGATAAAAACCACTTGGCCTTTTTTTTCTTAGATTCCATATATATGTGTTAGCATACGGTATTTGTCTTTCTCTTTCTGACTTACTTCACTCTGCATGACAGACTCTGAAGAACCTAGGGGTAAGACAGGAATAAAGGCACAGACCTACTAGAGAATGGACTTGAGGATATGGTGAGGGGGAAGGGTAAGCTGTGATAAAGTGAGAGAGAGGCATGGACATTTATATACTACCAAACGTAAGGTAGATATCTAGTGCGAAGCAGCCGCATAGCACAGGGAGATCAGCTCGGTGCT